CGTGCCGCTGCCCCCCAAGCCGTGCTGCGTTATTGTGTCTTTCCTGCTAACACGAACAAGCTGGGAGGCCAGCCTGAAGCTGACATTATATGCAAGGACAGGGTCCCTTATGCGCGTGGTGGTTGGTTGCCCTCATTTTTCCAGGCTCGACAATTCGAGCAGCTCAAGCCCCTGTCCTGCTCACCCTCCAGTAAACAAAACGCGAGGGCCAAGAGGTAAGTGACAAAGTCTAGGCAGTCTCACCGCACTAGGACGGCTGCATGACAGTGGCACTGCGTAATGATGCACCCATTTCATGTTGTAGTGACCAGAATTAAATCTATTCCTAAGTGCCACCATAGGCTTTTGATGCCAGCGCTAATTAGGACACCATTGCCAGTCTTGACTTCAGGCTTTTTATTGCATCTCTAATCCAGATGTAGGTAGGCAGGAATTCACCCTGTTCATGCAACTTTCATTTGGCAACCTCGCAGGAAAACACACATGCATTAGTGCCAATTGCCTCCTACACCCAATGTGGACAAATACTTGAAACTAGGACTCTCCTCAGTGGATACTATAAGACACTGATTTAACGTTTGTTTTTCAAACCTTCCAGTGCTCCTTTTGCCTTGCTTTATCAAGGTAAGCTAGTCTCTTAATAAAAAACGAGAAACCCCTTTTTAATACCAGGTGGTGCTTGAAGAAGTGAAAGGCTACCCCGGACCAAGAGTTTGGTTTCATTAGAGACCAGCCTTGGGATAAGTACAGAGAAATACTTTCTAATTTGGTTCTTGTGATGTGGGTGGATATTGCAAGATAAACCTGTTGCTGGGAATCGGCACCTCGGATACCAGGACCTCTGTACTAACCTTCACCACCATGAGGACTAATTACTTGCTAGGTGGACTTTAACGGCCAAAAGTGCTAAAAACCTCAGTTTCACATCTATAAAACAGATGGCTACAAGCCTTGTTAGTGCAGCCTTTCCACCTCTCTGCAGGGGCTACACCACTTCTCTGCTAACAAACCCTACCTACGTTTCTCTCTGCAGCATCTCGTTCGTCCTTCCAGATCCCAGTTCAAGTACTGACCCACCTCAGTCCTGCTTTGAAGGCAATCGAAGGCAGCGGGGCCTCGGCAGGAACAGAACGCAGTTACGTCAGCTGGAGTTTTCTGCAGGCTGCATGCAGAAGGAAGGTATGCCTTAATCCACATCAGTCCTGCTGGTTTTGCAAGGCTTCACAAAAAACAGATAAAACCCACCATCTGTCTGATGGATAGCTGTTTGGCTAGAATGTAATCCACGGTAACGTCTTTTCACAGAGCTGTTCAAATACCTAAGCTTGCTGAAGTGATAACCTATCATTTCAGCCCACTTTTTAATTTTCCTTCATGTGTTTTTAAATAAGGGCTTACATAATCCTCTGCTGAGTCCTTCCCACATGCAGGGAGGGAAACTCCGGAAGAGGAAATTCACTAAAGGAAAACATTACCTTGATGGGTTCAGTACCAAAACACAAAAAAAAAAGCAAACAGCCTCCCTCCTTCCTCTCAGACTTTGGCTCATATGCCATGCACATACTTACAGTTTTTCTTATAAACAGATACAGGTATCATTCTTGCCACGTCGCTGCAGCAGGAAACCTTTGTACTAGTCCATGGAGCACTGGTGGTACTACAGCAGCTGAGTATACGTATTTTTCTTCTCTCCTAGCTGACTGCATTGCAGTGTTATTTAGTTTGTAAAATAACCAGGATTGCTCTGCAATCCTCTTTGTGCTGGTAAAGCTGACTACCTCTTTTCCCTGGCAACTAACAGTTAGTGCTGAAAATGAGTATTAGAGAAAACAGATTGCAATAGTTTTGTTCTTTATGCAATTCTTGCTACTAAAAAAAAAAGCAAAAATACAAAAATGCAAAATGCAAAAAAATACAAAAAATAAAGTTTCAATCAGTTCCATAAATTTCAGACTCTAATTAATTGAATCTAGCCAATCAATAGCTCCTTCCTTCCTTTCACATACCTGTAAGTATTGCCTTGCTGCAGCACTTCTGCTTATAAAGCCATATTCTCAAAAAAGCAGCAGGGCTGACGCATCAGTCCCCGTTCGTCAACTGGCATATTTCTCAAGTGACAGTAGCAGAAAGAGCTCTGAAAGCTCGTCAGTAGCTGGAAGAGAGAGATCTGCCCTAAAGCTGGTAGCCATTTCGTTCATATTCCAGCTCTAGAAGGTATATTCCAGTTTAAAGATAGGCTTCAGTTCTGCCTGTTCTTTTAATGAAAATTTGAATCTATAGAGGGTTGATTTAGCAAAGCAGGTAGATACCTTGCTATTAGGAACTGTATGAAGGAAGGCTGCCTACATTGAGAGTTGTCCTTTGTAATTGTAGCAGCTGTCCATACTGTACAAGTCACTACACTGATGTAGGAACTGAATGATTTCACTTTCTTTTCCCTTTGCTGAAGTATGACTTACACAAATCATCTCTTGCTAGAACAGGTTTCAGACTTTGGCTAGATCCTGCAAATTTCTACTTCAATAGCCCTGCCAATCAAATTAAAAAAAAGAATGTGGTAATCGAGGAAGAAGTGAGCTCTTTAATAATTCTTTAGAGTACAAATACCTCAAGACCTAGAGCTGGACTTGATGCTGAACCTGGAATCACTGAAGAGAGGAGCTATGGGGTAAGGTGATGGGGCGGAAGCACGAAGGCAGTACAACTATTGCATTCTGTAGGGATGGGTGTCTTTTCATCAGCTGGCTCCACTCCTAAATATGATTTATAGTAATTAAATCTGCATCCGCCTCCAGTAGAAAGGGAGTGCCTACTGGACAGATATGGGTGTTTTCAGAATTCAGTAATATGCCGAGCATGAGGAGAACGCATAGTAGAGGCTGTTCTTCAACATCCTTCCCCTCCCACCTGCCTCACTAGTACTCTCCTTCCAAGCTTTCTTTCAGTTCACTAGAGCACAGGCTCTGCTGCAGTCTTTGCTTAATGCAAAACACAGCCCTAGCTGTCATCTGCATACTGCTAGCACAGCAGCTTGTCCTGCTCGTCCAGTTGCTTGCCCATGCATCATAAAAACTGCAAGAGAGATCTGAGAGCTGTGCAGGAGAGGGCTTTACAAGAACACCCCACTGATGCCCGTTCCTGACCTTTGCCCAGAGCATCTGTTCTTATTCCAGCTTGTCACGTCTTAAAAATAAAAAAAGTAGCCCAATACACAAGAGCTCACGTATGCTCTTGTGAAATCATGACTAAAGGCAAGCGAGCCATTACAGAGCAAACTACTCCCTCTGCCAGATACCTCTGTCTGCTGAGCAGCAGCACGGACAAGGAGGATACAGGCATGAGGGTGTCCAGTTTTACCACTTGCCAGAGTTAAAAGCTTGGGGATATGCAGAGTTAAATATCAAGGTTGCCTCTCCCAACAGCAAGATTCACTGCAGTACTTTTAATTGTAAGGTGAAAAAGAGAACTCACCTTTGTTCATCTCCTGGCTGTCCATCTCTGATCTAATAATCAGAAGAATGTTCATCCCTCCTACTACTTAACTCTTCATATGAGCTAATAGCCTTTTAGTAGTCACATAGTGGAGAAAAGTGCTGAAAATATTAAGAAGTGGGCTTTTTTTTTTTTTCAGTCACATACTGGGACAGCTGCTGACAGCCATGAGAGAGAGATTCTAAAATGATAGATTTTTATCAAGTAAAGTTACAGCTATCTAAAGGTAGTTCACAGCAGTCTCTTGGAAAGGATTTCAGGAGACAGGATTGAAAAAGACTTTCAACTATATGATCAAATTAAGGGGGTACAGACACCACAGTGCTGCTCTTTGTTCCTCTAGGGTTAAAGAGGCACTGATCGCAGTGCTAGCTGTGTGAAAATCATCCTTACTACAGATATTTTTCCACAAAGAAATGCACACCAAAAGCACATATTAACGTGCTTTTGCTGCTGACACTGCTGTCTTTATCAGAGAAAGAAAGGTAGCATTCACTGGGGTTGGGCCATTGTTTTCTGTGTACAGCCACTAACCAGAACCTCCTCCATCCTCAGCATAGTACCAGGACATCAGTCTGCTCATTGTGATCTGCTTTATCTCCCAGTATAAATGCTGATCCTTAAAAGTCAGATTTCCTGCCGAATCTGAAGCATGGACAGCTTGGCCTAACTGCTTTCTGCTTGACAGGAGGACAAAATAAAATAGCAATCAAGTATTTATCAGTCTCAGGACATTATGTTCAGCTCTTTCCTGGCTTACCTCAGAGCAGGCTGTTTCTCAAGGCTGCCCACCACATGTGATCAGAGGCATCCAGAGAGATGCAAAGGTCAGTCCCGTGCAGCACAACCCTAGTCTATTACTGACCTGGAATCTGCAGGGCTCCCTCAGGACATCAGCTGGCTGCCAGCCTGCAGGGCACAAGGTCAGAGCACTCCCAGCTTCAGGCATGCTAGGAGCCCATCCAGATCACTTCCAAAATACAGCCACTGTTCCCAGAAGCACAGCTGAAGGCTCCTAGAGCATCTGCACTGCTTGGGAGCAGGCAGGTGCTGCAGTGACCCCAACAATTCTCTAAACCAGCCTTCTCAGTGGTAATTTGCTGCAGTCATTCCCAACTGTCTGCTGCTGAGATAGTCTGGTATTTTGGCTACAGGCAGGTCCGAGTTACACAATCTTACACACAGTTCCTCCTTAAAGAAGGGCGACTTTGAGACATCTTAATTACAAAATGACATTTAAAAGTTGTCAGGGTTTATTATCTTGTCACACACAGTAATGACTCACTTAACATGTTGTAACCAGAAGGGTAATAGTAGGCCGAGATCTTCCCTTCCCCTGTGTATTGTACAGAGCCATTGAGTATGGTATTGGCAGTGGAATACCAAACTTGCAGTATGTGAAAGGACGTTACAATTAAAAAGTGGATTTTTTACCCAAGGGACCTGAAAAAGCATTTCCAAACATCCTAATGTTTAGGGCTGCTCTATCACATTGTTCTCCTGTTTATACCTGTCTTTTTCAGTGGCAGAATTCACAGAGTTCCAGTCTGTGTTCCTATTTGCATACAAACCATCACAGAATAGCTCTTCATGACAGAGAAGAAACTGTGTGATGTGACATTCCCTTGAGCTGCTGTGCTGACTGGGCTGCCAGCTTGGTCCCTTCCTGCAGCACTTCAGTGCAGCTACTTGAGTGCACTTAAAAGCAAACAAACAAACCCCAGAACAATACACAGCAGTCCTCGTGGCAAGGGATGCAAGCTGAAAACACACACAGCAGTTGACAAGCCCAGAGTCTTGTTTTATGGCTGCAAACTGAAATGCTTCTGTGACAAAATTTGCTGTTTAAACAACTATTGTGGCTCCAGGAGGTACCTAAAGATTGGGCCTGGTATTGGGAACTTTATTCTGTACAGTGATTTTCCTCCTGCTGATGAAAAGCATGTGGACACCCACAGAGACCTCTACAGTGGTAGAGTACTTCAGTTGGTGCTGCTTTTCCATAGCCTGGAACAAACAACTAGGCTGCTGCTTCAATCCTCTCCTCGTTTGTCCATAGCCAATTTATTTACTGGGGATGGGCTTTTTTTTTGTTTTTTTTTGTTTTAAATGAGGGTTTATTGCTTTTTCATTATCAATAGTACTTAAGAGAAAGAATTGATATTTAACAGAACTAAAACTCTTTGAGAACTCAACAACAGGCTGTGTGTTGTGATTGATATGCTTTCACAATCCCTTTCTTTCCAGTTTTTCCAGAATGGCCTGAATTCTGTGGACAGCTTCTTTCCTAGCCTGCCGAACGCTGTCCTGGCCACCAGTCTCTATAGAATCCAGTTCCAACAGCAACTTGGTCAGCATCTCTG